ATTTATAGCCCATTTACATATACTTTATGGTACGCCTTTTACCACCCCCAATAGCGGGTTGATTCTGATGTGTGCTGCATTTAATAACAAGGGCTGAAAGGTGAAATGAGAAGAAAGATGACAGCAACCAAACGCTATTGAGTAAAAAGAACCGATGAGCATTCTACATTCTTGAATATGTGTTCTGGAAGCCTGGCATCGCCATTAAGGTTCCGCCCCATATAAACCCAAAATGAGTGACAGCTCCTTCTCTTTGTGGACACCCTCTTGTCAAAGCTTCCTTTGACACTTCTCTATTCACCATTCTGGTTTCAGTGAAGCAGTGTGTGCCTTCCTTCCAGGGGTTTTCATTCTTTTATGGGGAAATGTTCTTAATCTTGTCCCTAAAGACTCATTACTGTTGGTGTGGACCTGGGTGGTACCCAGAGGCTCCTGTGTTGAAGGTTTGGGTCTGAGGCAGAGTTGCTCAGAGTTGGGGCTACTGGGAGGGAAATGGTTCTGGTTCGGGGGCATTCTGACTTTTTCAGTGGCTTAGCCCATTGCTTAGTTCATAGCTGAATGAGCACACAGATGGGGGCTTTTGGCAGGCAGAGGTAAATCACTGGAGGTGTGTCTTTGCAGGATAGATTTTTGTTCCCAGTGCCCCTCCTTACCACAGTATGAGCATCTTTCCCTTTCACCATTATACACTGCCTTACCAGAGCTGGGGAAACAGGAAGTTATCATGCACTGAAACCTTTGAAACTATGAGACAAACAAGTATTTCCTCCTCAGGTATTTTGTCATAGCTGAGTCAAAAGCTAACTAACAGCAACCCAGGCTGGATAGTTACAATTGTGAGAACTCATCCCAGGGCTTGCTCCTTTTCAGGCAAGCATCTGCTGCTTCACCATTTCAATTTATTTATTTATTTATTTATTTATTTATTTATTTATTTATTTATAGTAATGCTGATCAAACTCAGGGCTTTGGGCATGCTAGGCCAGCACTCTACCACTGAGCTAGGGATCTGGTCCTGCTAATGGCTCCGCCCTTCTATTCCAGAGGATCCTTTGTCTCAAGAGTGGGGGTTGGGGAGTGTCTTAGAGTTTCTATTGCTGTGCCAAAACATCATGGACATAAAGCAAGTTGTGGAGGAAAGGGTTTATTTGGCTTACACTTCCATATTGCTATTCATATTGAAAGAAGTCCGGACAGGAACTAAAACAGGACAGGATCCCAGAGGCAGGAACTGATACAGAGGCCATGGTGTGTGTGTGTGTGTGTGTGTGTGTGTGTGTGTGTGTATGTGTGGGGTTGCTACTTACCAGCTTGCTTCCCATTGCTTGGTCAGCCCATCTTCTTACAGAACCCAGGATCAAGACAGCCCAGGGATGGCACCACCCACCATGTGCAGGGCCTTCTCCCATTGATCAGTAATTGATAAAATGCTTACAGCTGGATCTCATGGAGGCATTTCCTCAGCTGAGGGTCTTTCCTCTGATGACTCTACCTGGTGTCAAGTTGACACACACAAATGTTGTCCATACAGGGAGGACAAAGTTGGGAGCTTCTAATACTTGGTCTTAGAGGATGTCTTTGCCAAGGTATTTGTTCCAGCTTGAGTAAGCCAAGCCTGCCATTTATGGGCATTCAAACTTCCTGAGACCTAACAGTAATCTGCTCAGATGGACAAGTCCCATTGCAGAACAGATGGGATCAAGCTCCTTCATGCCACACTGCCCATGATAGTGAGTCTAGAAGTAAACTGCAGATATCCAATAAAAACATTAAATATTCCTTTGTATATGTGGGAAACCACAGTGACTCCATTCCATCTCAACTTAAGGTCAGAGAGTTCAAGCTTGTTCTTGTTTTTCAAGGCTAAAAAAAAAAAAAAAAAAAAAAAATAGGATATTTGGCCAAAGGTATGGTCATTAGATGTTTTGAGACTTAAGGTGGTGATTATGCTTGTTCCTTAAACCATGTTAAGGAACTCTTTGCCCCTCCCCTTTTGCTATGAGAAATAAATTAAGGGCTGCTACAGTATTCACTGAGAGCCCTCCTGATTCTTTCTCCTGTCTTGTCTCTTTCTTAATCCCCACTCCTCTATTCAGATACTGTTCAACAGGTCAGCTGGCTTTGACATTTATATTTTTACAGGGTCTCATTATGTATTCATAATGAGATATGTATGATGCATTCACACAGTGAAGGATGGCTTCAAATTCACAACTCAACCCTCTCAGCATCCTAAACCCTAGGATTACAGGGATGCACCACTACATTAATCTTAAAGAATTAATTTCTTTCTCCATCCTTTCCAAAAAAATATCTGTAAAATCCCTGATGGAAAACACTGAAATACCCACATTTGTTCTTTGCAAAAATTTTCAAAGTTACTTTAATTCAAAAGTACTTTTAAAAATGAAGAAACAGGATTTTCTAAAGATCTGTTTAAACCAAATGTAAAGATCCAGCAAAATGGCCCAGCAGTCAAAGGTGCCTGCTGTAAAAGCTCCATGACTGGAGGCCTGATAGCTCAGGCTTATTACTAACTAGCTCTTACAACTTAACTTAATTCATTTCTATTAATCTATGTATTGCTATGTGGCTCATGGCTTTACCTGTCTTCCAGCATATATCTTGCTCCCTGTATCTCTCCTGGTGAATCCACTGACTCTGCCCTTCTTCCTCCCAGAATTCTCCATTTGGTTGCAAATTTCAGAGTTCATTATAGTATCATCCTAGCTCTTCTGACTCTTCCCTTACCCTAAGCATCTCCAGCTCATTATTTCCCTCCCTGAAGTTACTCGCTCTCTTTATAATCCTATTTCAGCTATGCTCTCTTTCCTTTTCCTGCTCTTTCTTTGTCTTCCACTCCCCTCACCTCTTTCTGTTTCCCCCACCCACCCCATGCTATGAGCTTCTGCTGGCCATGTTCAGTCTCCCACTTTCTCTGCCTGCTCTGGACTCTTCCAGATGCCTCTGGCTGTTCCCTCTCTCTCTCATATCTACAATTAAAAAACATCTCCTTAACCATACCATGGAGTGGTCATGTGTTCAGTTTATACAGTTGCAACACACATAAACCTTGATGACATTCTGCTTAGGGAAATAAGTTAGCCACGAGTAGAGCTGACTTCCATTTAGATGAGGTATCTAGTTAAATCTGTGGAGGTAAAATAGAATAGTGTTTGGTGAAGGCTGCAGGGATGACTGAATGCATTTGTCACTGTTTAGCAGTTTCAATTTGAAAATGTCCAGAAGTTCTAGAGTAGGGTAGTGGCGATAGTTGCACAATGGGAGTGTATTTCGTGTCTGCAGTTAAAAATGAGTAAGCCAGTACATTTTATAGCAGGTCCATATGCTGGTTGCTTTCCATCAACTTGACAGACTAGAGTCATCCTAGAAGAGGGAGCCTCATTTAAAGAACTGCATTCATCAGATTGGCCTGTGGGCAAGTCTGTAGGGTCATTTCGTGGTTAATGACTGATGTGGGAGGACCCAGCCCACTGTGGATGGTGTCACCCCTGGGAAAGTGGTCCTGGGTCATATAAGAAAGCAAACTGTTCAAGACCAAGGATCAAGCCGGTATTTCATGGCCTCTGCTTCAGTTCCTGCCTCCAGGTCTCAGTTCCTCTCACTTCCTGCCCTAATGGAATGTGATGTGTGTGGAAGTGCAAGCCATATATACTCTTTCCTTCCCAAATTGGGTTTGCTTGGTGTTTTATCACATCAACAGAAAGCAAACTAGGGCAGCACACTTAGCCACAATTTAATTTTTTTAAATGTGAGGATGGTTAAGTGACTAAGAGCTTATCCTCTTGCATAGGATTTGATTGCTTAAGGTGGCTCACACCCACCTTAAGCTACAGCTCTGGAGATCCAGTGCTATCGTCTACCCCCTTGTGTGCTCATATACACACACCACACAATGACATAAATATATACACGTTGTTTAAAAATATAATCTTTTTAATTTTTAACTAAAATATGTATTTAAAAAACCTGAAAGTATTGCCTCTCTTAATTTGGATTGTCCACTGTAGAATGTTCAAAATTACTACATTACTAAATTGACTGATTTTACTAAGTAGTTTTAATTATAACAGAATATTTAAAAATATATTTCCATTATAAGGAATATAGAGAATACAGAAAAATATTATGAAAGGACATTTTAAAAGTAGAAGCATAACTCTTGCCCAAATATAAAGTAAATATGTACCAAATACTTGATGGTAATTAAGGAGGGAAACACTTCCCTGTGAAAATCAAAAGGGATTGCAAATAACCTATATATAGCAAACAGGAAAGATAAGATGAAATTGAAAACCAGTGCCAACATAGGTGTTATTCAATGAGCAAAACACATTATGTACATGTATTAGATCTCATAATGAAACCCATTAATATGTCCAATTATATACGAATTACACAAACCTTTAAAAAAGAAACCTAAACATGTGGATTGTAAACATTGTGTTCTGTCAAATTGGTTTATTAAACACTGTACACTGTGACATCAGGAATCACTAGCTAGTTCCTACCTTTGCCAATGCTTGTATCAATCAAAGGAGAATATTTCTTTACAGGTTTTATTTTTCATGAAGAAAATTCTACTGAGTATTCTTTGAGCAACAACCAATCATATTCCACCCCATGGTGTTTATCTGAAAACTTCATTTCATAGTAAATGATACCATGTGTTTTCTGCAATACATTATAGGCCTGCAAAGTCCTGAGCCAAACAATCATCCAGTCACCCTCTTATCCACTTGAGTTGTTTTTTGTTTTTTTTTCAAGACTGAAACTAAAACCCTTTTACAGCTTTTACAGCTCTTCAGTACAGAAATACTTTCCCTTTCTTATGCGTTGAACTTCATGCGGATCTTGGAGTCTTTTTAAACAAATCCAGCAAGGTTTCCATAGTGCAACTGTTTGGGTACACCCTGAGCCTAGAAGCTGTAGTGCACCCTGGTCCTTTGCGCCCTGAGAGGACCACCATGCCGTGAGTGGCTGCGAGTGGCAGTGCAAAACTTTTAAGGGACACGGGTCACCACCAGGGAGTGGAGGAAGACTTAAGTAGGCAGGATCCACAGGCAGAAGCAAAGAAGGTGCACAGTCAGGCAACAGGTGTGACTACACCAGCAGCTTGCCCCTTCCCACCCACAAGAGCATGGGCGGTGCCACGGAGCCAGGGCGGGGCGACCTTTGCTCGATCCTTAAGCCATTTGGGCAGGCGGGGCCTAAAGACCTGGCCGGGGTGGGGTGTACGGGTCCTCAGAGTCCGAGGTCGCCTCTTACCAGGTGTCCCTGCCGCTCCTGCCCCTCCCATAGGGTAGGGTTTGGCCGCGGGGGCCGAACCTGGGTGCGCGGTTTCGGTCTGACCCGACTCAAAGCGAGTTTCGATTAGGGACAGCGGTTGGGCGAGAGGGCGGAGCAGTCGGGAGGAGAGAGAGGAGGGGACCTGGTGCAAGAAGCTCAGTGGAGATAGTCCCGCGCGGGAGACGAAGAACGTCGAGAGAGCGCAAGAGCATCTCCGCTATCCAGCTAGGCAGCCTCGCAGATTTGGAGACCCTGGGTCTGGGGTGCGCTGCAGAGCAAGCACGGGTGCTGGGGACCCGCGAAACTACAAGGGATGAGGACCCCGGTGGTGATGATTCTGGGCATGGTGTTCACGCCCTGCGGGCTGCTGCTCAATCTCATCAGTACGTTGGCCCCGGGCTGGCGGCTGGTGAAGGGCTTTCGAGACCAGCCACTGGACGTGGTGCTGTACCAGGGTCTGTGGGACATATGTCGCGAACAGAGCAGCCGCGAGCGCGAGTGCGGCCAGCCCGACGAGTGGAACTACTTCCAAACCGAGCCTGTGCAGGCGGCCCGGGGACTCATGATTACGTCACTGGCCATCACCGCCCTGGGGCTGCTGCTGGCGTCGCTCGGCGTGCGCTGCTGGCAAGATGAGCCCCACTTCGGGCTAGCTGGCCTCTCGGGCATCGTGCTTTTCGTCGCGGGCCTCTTCAGCCTCATCCCAGTCTCCTGGTACAACCACTTCTTGGGGGACCGCAGCGTCCTACCCGCCCCGGACAGCCCGGTTACCGTGGAAGTCAGCTATAGCCTGGTGCTGGGCTACCTAGGCAGTTGCTTGCTGCTGCTGGGCGGCTTCTGCCTGGCACTCAGCTTTGCGCCCTGGTGCGAAGAGCACTGCCGCCGCTGTCGCAAGGCGCCCCCCGCAGGTCCGCGCCGCAGCAGCATCAGCACGGTCTACGTGGACTGGCCGGAACCCGCGCTCACACCGGCCATCAAGTACTACAGCGAGGGCCAGCATCGGCCTCCTCCCGCCGAGCACCGGGCCACCAGCAAGCTCAAGGTCGGATTCCCGATGCCACGGCCGCCACCCAAGGCCTACACCAACCCAATGGATATGCTTGAGGGAGAAGAGAAGAAGACAGCCACCTCCCAAGGCGGTTCCTCCTCTCGCAGCACTCGGCCCTGCCACAGTTCGCTGCCCTGTGACTCAGACCTGTAGACAGCTCACCCACCTTCTACCTGAGCTCCGCCTGGGGTCTGAAGGGGACTTGAACTGTGCGTTTCCATGACATCTGCGACCAGAACCTTGGACACCTTGCTGTTTGGAGGGCAAACCTCCCTTTCCGGGGACCAAACTCCTTCCCAGATACTAGGCTGGGTTCATTTACTTTTAAGGAGTTTCACTTTTCTGGAGAGGGAGCTGTTTTCTTATGCAGTGACAAGAGTGAGTGGTGTTTTGCATACTGTAAATCACAGTAGCAACAACAACAAAATCGCAGCCAGCCTAGGGGCTTTAAAAAGGTGCAACACGCTGAAAGTACAGTATTTCTAAGATACCCATGAGTCTTCGTAAATGTCACTATTGAGATGGTTGGTTTTTTGTTTTGTTTGTTTTTGTTTTCCCTCCCTGCTTCAGTTTCCAAAGAACCCAAACAGCCAAAAATGTAAGTCTGGATGGCTATGTTTGAAGGATGTTCTATACAGCCAGCAGTTTCAAAGGCTTTTATGAAGTGAAGTAACTTGTTCAACTCATATTTATATGTCTTCGTGCATACGCAGTATTTATCTTTTCTAATCACTTATTCCTATATAGGAGCTTGAGCTTATTTAAGAGATTGTCTTCCAGAAGCCAGAAGAATAAAAAAGTTAACACTACACTATTCTTTTCCTTCACTAGATACCTCACCCTGAACAGAGGTATATTTCACACACAAAAAAAAGAACTCTTAAGTTGAGTTTGGCTCAAGTCCATATGTATGTATCTTATTTATAAATAAAAATTTAAATCTCAGTTTCAGTATCCCTACAAAAGCTTGTCTCCAGTGTCACTGTTGGGGGTTTCAGAATTTGGTACTAGCAGTTTCCTGCCAGCTTAGGCGCCTTGCTTGCAATCAAGCACTGGCATCTTCCCCGGTATCCACCTAAGATTACTAAGAGGAGCCATGGGGCCCCACTGAAATCCCAGATTGCTTTGTTTTTAGGCTCAGGTTGTTTTCAGCACAAGCCAAGTCTATTGTTGATAAAAACTAGAAACACCAGTTTCAGGATGAGGGGAGAAGTCCACTCCTCCTCTTGCCCAGGTACAGCTTTGGCTTGCCCAGCTGCAACTCTGGCTTGCTAAACAATGGAGTAAAAAAAAAAAAAAAAAAAAAAAAAAAAAAGTACCTTCAATTGAACTGAACTGAATCTGTTATTTAAAGTACAGAAGTGGGAAACAAGCATTCAGGCAGCTCTGATGGTGGAAAGCAACAATTGAAGAATGTGAAGCTTGCAGAGCACCAAGAAGGTAGGAATTCACTACCCCTGCCACTTAGTAGGGAAACTACGTTTTGTTCTTGAGGCCCCCAAGGTTAACATGTGGGCATGTCACTTTATAGTCCTTTCCAAATGCAGATTCCCATGCTGCAGAACCTGGAAACTGTTCATAAGTAGATCCAAAAGATCCCAGTGCAGGGACCCTCAACCTGGGGGAATCTCATATCAGATAGCCTTAAATATCAGATACTTACAATTCATAACAGTATCAAGTTAACAGTTAATGAAGTAGCCATGAAATAATTTCATACTCAGGGGTCACCACAGCATGAAGAATTGTATTAAAGGGTCCCAGCAATAGGGGCACTGAGAACCACCGCTGCTTTGTACATGGTCCTGGAGGCACTCCAAGTGGCAAAGTGCCAGCTGGGACATAGCCTCATTTAATTGCAGCTGGAGGCAGGAGGCCACTCATCAACAGACCTCTGAGCACCTGCTACATAGATGCTTCAGAAGGTGGAAGCTCACTATGCTTGTTAGCTAGGGTTTCTGTTGCTATGGTGAAATACCATGACCAAAAGCAACTTGGGAAGGAAAAGATTTACTTGTCTTATGCTTCCATATCATAGTCCATAATGGAAGGAGGTCAGCGCAGGAACTCAAACAGGGCAAGAACCTGGAGGCAGGGGCTGAGTCAGGAGCTGATGCAGAGGCCACAAAGGGGTGCTGCTTACTGGCTTGCTCCTCATGGCTTGTTCAGTCTACTTTCTTATAGAACCCAGGACCACTAGCCCAGAGATAGCACCAGCCAGTATGGGCTGGGCCCTCTCCCATCAATCACTAATTAAAGCAGTGCTCTACAGACAGATCTTATGGAAGCACTTTCTCAATTGAAGTTCCCTCCTTTCAGATAATTCCACCTTATGTCAAGTTGCCATACAACTAGCCAGCACACTGTGGGTGCAGAGCTAGAATAGAAAATGTAGCCCAGATATATCTAGCTTCCACTCCAGCAGCTACAAGCTTCAAAGTCCAGAGGCAGCTAACAACCTAGAAGCCCTGATTCTTGACAGTACTGAATTTTGCCTGCATCTTGACTCCAGGTACTACTGGTGTGTACTAATATTGAACAAACTTGGTTTCCTCTGCCTTTTTCCTTTCCTCCTTCTCCTGTTATTCTCCCTGACCTATAGGCAAAGCACCTTTTCTGCAATGATTAATATTTGATCACTGAAAGCTAAGACTACCCCCCCCAAATCAGCAGAAATGGCTCCTAACTACCCTTTTAAAGACACTTTCTTTTTTGGTCATAAAAATGTTCAGGACAGCATGGAAAGCAATTCTTCCAGGTAACTGGGATCTTTTCTTGCCCCAGTGGTCATTCTCTGCCACAGAAGCACACACTGAATATGGGCTTTAAACAAAATGTTGGAGGAGCCTATCTCTGGAGGCCTGCTGCGAGTGCACATGCTTCTTGACCAAGTGAGTTGATGCTGACCAATCAGATGCTGCACTGAAGTTAGCTCACTGATGTAGGACGGTACAGCCACCTTGCACCAGACACCTATGATATGTCCTCTGGGTCAACACATAAAGTATGTGTCACCATTTAACGGTGTTCAAGTTTGCCTAGAGGCCCACAGAGCCCAAGAAAGCCTGGAGGAGATTACCTAACACATATTGGCTCTGTCTGTTGTGTGGTCAGGCTTTTCTTGGGATGGGATGCTAGCCTCACAAGGAGGATGAAGTGTGGGCTCTCTCTCTCTCTCTCTCTCTCTCTCTCTCTCCCTCTCCCTCTCCCTCTCTCTCTCTCTCCCTCTCTCTCTCCCTCTCTCTCTGTCTCTCCAGAAGCTGTCTCTCTGCTGGGAGGCTGTGGGAAGGGCTGGCAGGCTGATTCAGAAACCACCTCTTCTTTATTGCATAGCTCATCCACCCGGCAAGTATTTTAAACACCTGACATTTTGCAAGCACACTTGTGAACACTGGAAAACAACACAGTTTGGCTCTGACATAGTCAAGTGGGAGATAGCATGTAATAGGATGAAGAGCAGTGAGTCAGGGTCACATGATGGAGGCAGTGGACAGGGGCATGATATTTTAGAATCATCGAGAAGGAAAAGGGTCATGCTTGGGCAGAAAAGGGAAAGAAGAGAGATGGGGAGCACTCCAGGCGGAGGGAACGGTAGAACCCACTCCCCTTAACGTGTTTCCTTTCCTTTGTGTTTAACTTTCCTCCCTTCTATAGCCTCACGGTAAGGGCCAGAAGCTGGCAATTATGACAAGGTACATCTTGACATTTGCTCTTTATTGGGCAAACAATGGTACCACTAGTAGGACACACAGCCTGAAACAAATACAATCAGTGCTGTAGAGTGCTTTTAGAATAAAAAGCAATTTAACATAAAGAGCTCCTGAAGAACATTTTATTCTGCCAATGTACAAATTACCCCATAAACCATCAGGCAAGTAACTCACTGGAGGCTCAGTGCATGCCTGAAATCTCAGAATTTGGAAAGTAGAGGCCAGAGGATTAGATGTTCAAGGACATACAACATTATATAGTGATTTTGAAGCCAGCCTAGGAACATTTTAATGGCTAGCAGACACTAGGAGTCAAGTGTGTGGTATGTCTTTGAGCCTAATGCATAGGCCAATCAGCGTTTCTAAAGACCCTTATTTTTCCAGAAGAAAACCCAGAGATTTGACTTCCCTCATAGGTTTATTGCTCTATCTACTCATGTTATAACAAGCAGACTCTCTAGCCTGTTACCTTAATTTCCATGTTTTAAGAGTTTAGGACACCACCATTAGTAAAGGGAGCGAATGAATTTAGTTTGGCCAAATTACGTTATTGTACTGGCTAGTTTTTGATAGGACATTTAAAAAAAAACTTTATTTATTTATTTATTTATTTATTTATTACATATCAATTCCAGTTCCCTCTCCCTCCCTCTTCTCCTTCCTCCTTCCCTCTTTCTCTCTCTCCCCCCTCACATGCACCCTGACTACCCTTCCCTTCCATCCCCCCCAACTCCACATGTAAGGTGAAGCCAGCCAGGAAGGGTCATCTAAATCTGTCAAGTCATTTGAAGTAAGAACTAGGACTTTTCTACTGTCTCTATGTTAAGGGAGTATCCCTCCATGGGGGATGTGCCCGAAAGGTCCTTTTGTGCACTGTCTGAGGTCCCTCAGACTGTTCAGGCCTTCTAGCTGAGACCCATGTTCATGGGGTCTGAGTCAGTCCTATGCTGGCTTCCCAGCTATCAGTCTGGGGGCCTGTTAGCTCCTCCTTGTTCAGGTCAGCTGTCTCTACGTGTTTCTGCAGTGTGATCTTGTCCTCCCTCTCCCCATCTGGATTCCAGTTCAGCTCAGTGTTTAGTTGTGGGTGTTTGCTTCTGTTTCCAACAGGTACTAGATGAGGGTGGATAAGTTAATTGTTGATCTCATTATCAGGGAAGGGCATCTATGGTAGCCTTTACACTGTTGCTCAAATTGTTAGTTGGAGTCAGTTTTGTAGGTATCTGGACATTGCTATAGGTTCAGTTTTTCTCTTCAATCCTATAATGGCTCCCTCTTTTATGTTCTCTCTCTCTCTCTCTTTCTCCCTCTCTCTTTCTTTTCCATCTTCTATTCCTCCCCTGACTCAATCTTCCTAGTCCCACGTGCTTTCTTCTCCTCCTCTTCTCTTTCTCCTAGTTCCCTCTCCACTCACTGTCTCCCCCTACTCCTCATATGCTCTGGAGAATTTGTCCCTTCCCCCTTCTGTGAGGGACCTTATATGAATCTCCATGTATCCTTATTAGAATCTACCATGTATCCTAGTTCCTCTGGCGGTGTGAATTATAGGCTGGTGATCCTTTGCTCTAGGTCTAAAATCCATATATGAGCGAGTACATACCATGTTCCTCTTTTTGTGCCTGGGTTACCTCATTCAGGAGGTTTCTTCAAGTGCCATCCACTTGACTGTGAATTTCAAGATTCCATTGTTTTTTTTCCACACAGTAGTATTCCATTGTGTAGATGTGCCACATTTTCTTTATCCATTCTTCAGTTGAGGGGTATCTAGGTTGCTTCCAGATTCTTGCTATTACAAATGATGCTGCTATGAACATAATTGAGCACATGTCTTTGTTGCATGGATGTGGATCATTTGGGTATATGCCTAAGAGGGGGATTGCTGGGTCCTGTGGTAGACTGATTCCCATTTTCCTTAGGAACCACCATATTGATCTCCAAAATGGCTGTACAAGTTTCCATTCCCACCAGCAGTGGAGGAGTATTCCCCTTTCTCCACATCCTCTCCAATTAAGCTGTCATTGGTGTTTCTAATTTTAGCCATTCTAGCAGGAGTAAGATGATTATCTCAAAGATGTTTTGATTTGCATTTCCCTGATAGCTAAAGATGTTGAGCACTTTCTTAAGTGTCTTTCAGCCTTTTTGATTTCCTCTATTGAGAATTCTCTCTTCAGTTCTGTACCCCATTTTTAATAGGGTTATTTGGTGTTTTGTTGACTAGTTTCTTGAGTTCTTTGTATATTTTGGAGATCAGCCCTTTC